TTTGAATATATTTTTAATGTATTACGTATGGAAGAAATTAATAAAGATTTGAATTTTGTTAAGTTGAAAGATTATAAAACACTTTTTTAATTGAAAATTTCTAAAGAATCTTTAACACTATCCGTGACACGGCCTAATTTTATTTTCTCAGTGAGGGGGGGGGGCGCTTCTGGCCCCTCCTTTTTTTTAATATCTAATATTTTTACATGCTGCTAGTGAGAGAACCTGTTGTTAAAATATTTGAATCCCACCACTGAACATAAAAGCACATTAAAGTTATAAAAAAATGGAACCAAACTGCAGAACAAATGAACAGTGTATTGAGTCATGGCCAGTTACCCTCGAGAAACTGTAATTTCATTAAATTGTTACAGCCCGATATTTTATAGTATTATTTGGTTTAAACCAATATACATACAAGAATCAGAAAGTTATAAATTTTTACTCAAAATAAAACTTTTTTCTTTTAAATATGGATGTGGTCAAATGTTAGCTTTTCTTACTGGTAGACAGTTTGTGTAATACATGAACTAATATTCTATTCAAACTAATTACTGGTGTGAATTGTCTTCTATGAACCAAAGTTTTGAGCTGTTTTTCTTAATGGTATAATGTTTGACTAAACAAATGAAATTGAGTCTTGCTTGAATAAGGTTTAGCTAGCTATAAATGATGTAGTGATAGTGATTGTGAATTTAAAATTTTGGTATTTTTATTACACACTGCCAGTTTCACATGGAGCAAGAGGTTGCTATAAAACTGTATCAGTTGAAACAGAGTATACAAAGGCATTTAAACTGTATCACTACAATAGTTACTATGACCATCTGTCTATTGTTCTTAAACAAAATCCACATTCCATGAATTGCAAACTGACTGTAGAGAGTTTGTTTAGTGATGTTGGCAACAACATATATAATAACAGTAATTACTTTCTTTTAGTATATGAATGGATAAAAGTTTGACAAATGAGAAAGAGACGCGGTCCAACCTTTTAAGCTATTTGAATACACATTAGTTTCAGTATTGCTACAAAAATTCATAACTGAATATTAAAAGTTATTAAAGTATTTCTGCTTGTAAAACTTGAAATAATTAAAAATAAAATTAACTTTAATCCAACTACAAGGAATTAAATATTAAATATTTTATCATATATTTAACTATGGTTAAAGTCAGTATTTACTTTCATTGACACTCATTCACAGCCTAGTACTTGTAATCAGGTTAAGAAGTAACTTTGTATACAGTAATGGAATAACGTTAATCAGATTAATTACCAAATTATGTCTAAATCAGTACAGTACATGTTTGCTTGATTACAACTAAGGTATGTTATATCACATCACAATATTCAGTGACAGTATCTTCTACAATGTATATATTTGGTTCGTTTGGAAGTTTGCACAAAGCTACACAATGGCTATCTGCATAAGCTGTTCCTGATTTAGCAGTGAAATACTAGAGGGAAGGAAGCTGGTCATCACCACCCACTGCCAACTCTTAGGCTACTCTTTTACCAATGATTATTTTGGGATTGGCAATCACATTATAATGCCATATGGCTGAAATGGTGGCACAGGGATTCGAACCTGTGACTCGTACATTGCGAGTCAAGAGCCCTAACCACCTGGCCATTCCAGGCCATATCTATATATATATATAAATATAAACCAGAAACAACATAATAAAATTAAAACTCCAAACCATGCCTTTGCTACCATATATAATAAAATAGATCTGAAACATTTAATTAGGGTCTTTAATTATCTATTTAATAAATTGATAAATGCAGAAATAATTATTTCACAACATAAATTCATCAAATTTCAATGTAAAAATATACTTAGTTTTGTACTTATAACATATCACCTTTAATGAAGAAGTTCATAAACAAACAGCGGGGATTCCAATGGATGCTAATTTCTCTTCAAACATGGCCAACCTGTATTTGTTTTTCTATGAATATTGCTTTTTAAAATAGATATTAAACCCTAACTTGTATTTGTATACCTTTCGTTACATAGATGATTGAATTTCACTCAATCACCTACATTTTGATCCAAGAATAATATACCCAACAGAGCTTATTATAATAAAAAGAAGTAATAACAGTGATATACATGCTCATTATTTAGATACAGACATTAATTCAGCAGAAGGTAGTATAGAGTTGACTATTTTTGATAAGAGAAGGGAATTTGATTTTCCCGTCCTTAACAGCACTGTTCCATCAGTATTGTTAAAAGGGATTATTACATCCCAATTAAAAAAAATTTTTAACAGTTTGTAATAATAATAATTCCTTTATGCATAATATTCCTTTATTCAAAAATAAACTGAAAAATAATGTTATCAGGACTGGTTTATTAAGTAGTTTTTTTTTTATTTTTACTTTAGTATATATATATAAATATATTAGGTAGTATGTA